ATAAGCCAGACAAGAACAGATGACAACTTGGAGCAGGGTGGTAGCAGTAGATAGGTTGGGCAGAGGATGGATTGGACTGGAGAGAGGTTCTGGAGGGAAAGCCAGCAGGACCTGCCGATGAGAGGCAGGGGTGATGCTCCGACGTTAAACCAACCCTGTATTTTGGTCACCTCTTCTTGGCCCTGAGGTTGGGTGGGAGGTAGGGGTAGGGAGACATGATGACAGTGAAACTTTTCCGTAGCCCTGGGTGAAGTTCCGGGCTCAGAACTCCTTCTGTCCTTCCCCGAGGTCATCAGTCTGCAGCACTCTGCTCTTCCTCCCGCCTACCTCGAAGTCCCCACTGTCTCAGGCTTCTTTGCCAGTTCTCCCTCTTCACCTGACCTCTGAATGTGTGGAGCACACCGAGGCTTGGCTGGCTCCTCTTCTCCATCTCTGCTCACCCGCTAAGGAATCCATCCTGTCTCCCGACTTTGGAAATCATCTGTGTGCTGAACGCTCCCGGACTGCTATCTTCACACTAGACCTCTCCCTTGAATTCCAGACTCACACAACTGCCTACTCATCTCCTCTTGAATATGTACGTAGTCAGCTCAGAGATAACATGTGCAAAACCAAACTCCCACCCTTCCCCTCCAAATCTGCCCATCCCGGAATCTCCTCCATCTCAGTGAACGACACCTCCGTCTTCTTTGTCGCTCAAGCCAGAAACCATGGAAAACTCTAGACTCCTTTCTTTATCACACAAGCCACATCCAAATCCATCAGCAAATCCTGTCACCTCCACTTGCAAAAAAATGTCCAAAACTTCAGTCTCTTCTCACCGTCTTCCATCCACCACAATCTCTCACCTGATTATTTCAATAACCTCATAACCGGTCTCCTTTGCCCTGCTACCTTCTAGTCTCAGCACAGCATCAAAAGCAAGCTTGGGAAAATTGAATTCAGATCATGTCACTCTACTGCTGAAAACTCTCAGTGAAATTAGTCAGCTGTGGTGCCCCATGCCTGTAATCCCAGCTACTTGGAAGGCTGAGGCAGGAGAATCACTTGAACCCGGGAGGCAGAAGTTGAGGTGAGCTGAGATCACATCACTGCACTCCAGCCTGGGCGACAGAAGGAGACTCCATCTCAAAACAACAACCCCTCAGTGGTTTGCTGACTCATTCAGAGTCCAAACTGAAGTCTTTTCAATGGCCCCACATGATCTGCCCTTCCCAGCACCCCGTCCGTCTCTTTGACCTCACCTTGGTTTCTGTCACTCTCCACCACCCACAGCCCCAACTGCACACCCCCAGATCCTCCCTTAGCTGTGCCCCAGTCGTGCTGGCCTCCTTCCTGTTCCCCTAATGCAGTGTGCCTTTGCACTGGCTGCTCCCTCTACCGGGATCATCCTCCCGCACGTGTCGGAATGCCTTACCCTGATGGAGTGTGCTCACACCTGAAGTTATCCACAAGGCCTTCCTGATCACCTTGTTTAAAATCGCTACCACCCTTCACACTCATCCTCTTCTCTGGAATGTTGAGATGATTGAATGTCAGAGGCTAGAAACAGGGAAGAGGCCAAGAAGGTGGTTTTTGGGCCGGGCGCGGTGGCTCATGCCTATAATCCCAGCACTTTGGGAGGCCAAGGTGGGTGGAGTTTGAGACCAGCCTGGCCAAAATGATAAAACCCCATGTCTACTAAAAATACAAAAATTAGCTGGGCGTGGTGGTACATGCCTGTAATCTCAGCTACTCAGGTGGCTGAGGCAGAAGAATCACTTGAACCTGGAAGGCCAAGGTTGCAGTGAGCAGAGATCGCACCACTGCACTTTAGCCTAGGTGACAGAGCAAGACTCCGTCTCAAAAAAAAAGTGGTCTTTGAATCTGGGCTGGTCTCTATGGGCTCCAGAGTAACAGGCATTTTTGTCTCTTATTTCCTCTCTGTCACCTTTACCCAGAACAGAGCCTGGTACGTCATAGGCACTCAGTAAAGATTTACTGTGTGAATGAATGCAATTAGGGAAAGAGTTTCAGCCTGCAGGAGGCAGCCTGGCTATGGGAAGGGAGATGCGATTTCCCGGACAGTACCTGCTTTGACCCTAGTCATGGGTCGTCTGGGCTGCGGTTGTCATCTGGGAGGGTGAGGGCCTCCCGAGGCCTTTCGCAGCAGCAGCATTCTAGAATGATGCTCGACCCTGGCCTCACCTGCTTCTGTTTGGCTGCAGGAGGACGGGAGGGATAGAGGCAGCACCTGGTGCCGTGGAAAGGGAGAACTCTTGCTCGTTCTTTCTAGTCAAGACCCAGGTGGACTCTGCGGGCTTTGAAAGGAAAGGCATTTCTGGTTCACACTTGGCAGGACTCTGGGAGCCCCGTGTGAGGGAGGAATGAGCCAGGGGGAACAGCCTCACTGCTGAGTGGGGACAAGCAGAGGCCTGGCCACTGGACCTGGGCTCCTCCTCATAGAGACCATCCTAGGGCATCATGGGAGGGGGCAGGAGAAGAATGGAGGTGAGTCCTGGGGACAGGGAAGGCTGAAGAGGGCCTTGTGTGTGGATGGGCTGGGCCCACACGCAGGCCATCAGTAGGTGTGCGTGGTCAAGACTCCAAGCAGCCCTTAGCCCGCCCAACCCCAGGCCCTCGAAGCCAGCACCAACTCCAGGACCGAGTTGCAGGGGGCATTTTGGCTAAGAGAAGCCGGGTCCTCCTCCCCTTTCTGGGCCTTGCAACAGCTCCCTGCTTGTTTTCCCTGAAATAATGGGCTGAGCATATTGGGCCGGCAATAACCCCTTGAAATCAGTTGTTATCACAGTTAACAACCAGTTTGGCTTCAGTTCAGGCTGTTAACTATCAAACCACTAAGTGCCGGTAATGATTGATTCTTGGCCAGTTGCAGCTTGAGTGGGCTGTAAAACCCCATTAGTGAGGGCTCTGTGGAGGCAGTGGCTCAAAGATAAACAAGTTGATGGGTGCTCTAGCCCGGCCTAGCCCCGGTGATCTGGGCGCAGCTCCCATGGGTCCCTGGCCTGGGGTCCTACTGAGACTCAACCTCTTCCCAAAGCCTCAGGTGGTCTCAAGGACCAGGTCCCACCCTCCTGTCCCCTCCACCTCCCCTTTCCCCCATCCAGGTGTCCCTTTCCTCTCTAGAAGGCAGGTCTGGCTCTCTGGAAAGCTCTCCTCTTCTTCCGAGATGCAAATATGGCACAATCCCACCGCCACCACCCTGGAGGACTCAGGCATCTCCAGCCTGGAGGCTTGAGGACTAGCTTTAGACTAGCCAGTGACCAGCCTTGGCCCAGCCTGGTCCCACGTTGTGGCCAGGATCACAGGCAGAGAGCCTGACATTCCACCACCACCCCCAGACTCCCTCCTACCCAGGGCCTTCCCCTAGGAATTGCTCTCAAACAAATGAAATGTGGGTAATTCCTGGGCTAGGGGCTGGACAGGCGCCCGTGCAGATGAAAGCGTTTCCTGGACGGTCCCTTCATTTGCATGGCATCAGAAGCTGCTCAGAAGGTGTGACTTTTCCCACAGTGAGACCCCAGCTCCTTGCACAATAAAGCCAGGCTGCTCACCCAGAATTAATTAAAGGGGGAAGGGAACCGAGGAGGAGGCTCTAGGAGCTGGGGGAACTGGAAGAGAAATGTCCAGAGCCCCTTCCCCATATCCACAGTGTCTATGCACCAGGAGAAACCCACTCTCCAGAGCCCCTCACCCCTGTGCAGGCCACGAGAGGTGGGTGGACAGGCCAGTCTCTCTACTGCCAAGCTTCCCACTGAGCCTTGAAATTCCCGATCCCCTGGGGTGGGCTAAGCCTGGGACTGGGGCCTGAAACTCTGGGAGGAAGTTTTGGGTTCTCCCTACCCCAGGAGATGCCAATGGACAGAGCCCTAGAGGAATGCGGTTTCCGGACTGGCCCAGTAGCTGGGCTGTGGGACCAGCCCAGGGGCACCCATAAGGAAGGCAGCAGGAGTAGCTGCAATGGGAGGCCTCAGTGATGAAGGCTGGGCCAGCTCTGCGCTCAGGAAACTGCCACGGGGCCTGGGCTCTCCCTCGGTGTGTTGGGACACCAGTCCACACACAAACACGCACCTGCACCCTCGCTCATTCCCTTCTCTGCCCACACCAGGACCTGCTCCACCACTCCCACAGCAGCCCTTCCTCCCTCCCTCCCAAGTCCACCCCCCCATGTGGCCTGCTGCTTCTCCCCAAGGCCATGACTGCCTTTAATCCTGGGCTGGGCCTAAGAGCTTCCCTTCTGGTCCCAGCTCCTCCATGCCCAGCTCCTCTCCTCTGAGGTGGGCAGCCTCTTCTTGAAGACAGTGCCCTGGGCCCTTCCACACACCCGAGCTCCGTGCTTTCTGCCCACAGCTATCTCACCAGATCACCCAAGGTTAACCCTTGTTCCATGTCACAATCGTCAACACCAGTCTTGGTGGTCCCCCTCTAATACGCCCCCACCTTGGACCCTGGCAGCTGCTCTTTTCTTTCATTGTCTGGAGCCCGATTCTCAGAAATAACCAGTTCTGGAATGTCTAACCTGCCTCCCACATGGACCTAGGCACCCAGAAAGGCGCTGTTTGGAAGAGGATTAAATCCACGACTACAGCTTCTGTCCTAGCATGCCCATTATTTCTGGCCCTGAAGTGGCCTGGGGATGTGTTAGCAATGACCCCTGTGAAGTGCTAGGAGGTCCACGTCTGAGAGCTCCAAGGACTAGCTAACAGCCTCTTCTTGCCCCTTTCCCTGCTTCTGTCCTTGCAGGAAAACCCCTCGAGTGACAGTGATGGGAACGGGTGCTAGGCATGGGTCCTTAGGCTGGAGGGAGTCTGCAATCAGAGCTGGTACCTGGTCATCTGCATCTCCCAGCCACCCACCAGCTGGGGCCAGGTTGGGGGAAGGGGTGGCCGCAGGCAGGACTCACTCTCCAGCACACATTTTTAATATGCAAGTTAAATAACTATTTCAATCATTTAATAGCAACCAGTCTGATACCCACTTCTAGAAGGACTGGCCTATGTCACAGTACTTTCCTTCCTACCCCACCTGGGGGTGCAGTGGAGTTCTTGGCTGCCCAGCCAGCTGGCCCTGCAGGTGCTGGGGCCTCAGCAGCACAGGCTAGAGAAAGCCCCCTGTACCCCCCAAACCTCCAGTCGGAATCCCAGTCTAAGCCACTGATGGGGCTTTCTGAGAGTTAAGAAGACAGACACCACAGCCAAGTGGAATACAAAAATAGAGCCTCTCTTTTGTTTAAAAAAAAAAAAAAAAAAAAACAGCAAAAACCCAACAGCAAACAATATCCACAACCGGAACCCAGGGCTCCCCCAGCCCCACCCCGGCCTGCAGCAGCACAGGGCTCCTCTGGCTTGAGTTTTGGGTGCCCATCAGGGTGCGCCTCTCTGTGGTCTGGCGCTGGGGGAGGGCCGAGCAGCACCTATCGGGGCTCGGGGGCCCAAGTCCTCTGGCTGCCACGCAGGCTGCGCGTGAAGGGCGGGTAGTTGAGGAACTCGAAGCGCAGGCTCTGCTCAGTGGTGTGGTGGCCTCGGGGCAGCCGCTTCATGAAGTGGACCTCGCGCTGGTGCTGCCGCGTCTTGGAGCCCTTGCGGGGCCGGCCCTTGCGGGTGAAGGCCATGTACCAGCCCTCGTACTTGGCATTCTGCAGGGCGGTGTAGTTGTTCTCCAGCACGATCTCCGTGAAGACGCAGTCCTTGCCTTTGCCGTTGCTCTGCAGGTAGGGGAGCCAGACACCACGTTACAGAGCCCACCCCCGCCCCCGCAGAGGCAGAGGGCAAACAGCTCCAGACAGCAGGTGGGCACCCCAGCAGATGGCGAGGTGGGCAGGAGCCGCAGCCCCACCCCCTGCCCGGGCACCCGCTCTCTAATCCCTCACAACCCGCAGCCCACCCGGCAACTTCCTGTCCCCCCAGGCAGCAGTGACACATGGTTGTCTACGGAGGGGCTGGGCCCCAACTCACAGAAGCAGAGAGAGGGGCCCAGAGCCTGCCTGCTCTGGCCTCCTGCCCACCAGTCTGGCCACCCGTCTCCCCACCTGCCCCTCTCATCCCCTCAGGACTTTGGCTCCCTGGCCCTAGGGCAGCCACCCTATGGGGGAGGGGAGGCCTGGGAGGAGACGCTAAGACCCCATCCCCAGAAGCCCAGGAAGCGGGGCGCTCGAGGCTGGAGAGGAGCCGTGACTAATGGGGCCATTTTAGAGCTCGGCCGAGGGGCCGGGCGTGCGGCTTACTGAACATTCCAAATGCTGGTACCATGTAATTGGACATAATAGCAAAGCAATTTGGCGATTTGTTAAAAAGATATATGGAATTTACCAACCCCCCCAGTCCCTTCCCTAGCCTTCGTTCTTCCTCCTTTGCCTTTATAGCTTTTCATCTCTCACCCTCGCCCCTGCACCCCATCACGAGGTAACCCCAAGACAGCCCTGTGTCCCTCTGGCCACCCTGTTGGGATCAGAGCACAGGACTGTCCTGGAGGAGTCCAGCCAGCCCAAGCCACCCCCCAGGTCCCGGCAAACCACACCTGCCTGCCAGGGCCTCACCTTGGCAATCAGCTTCCCCTTCTTGTTCATGCAGATGTAGAGGCCTGTCTCGGCTCCTCGGACTCGAACTCTGCTTCCAAAGGTGTCCGTCTCCACGATGAGCTTTGCTGTCAGAGAAGGTAAGAGGATGGTTATTGGCAGATCCCTAACCCCAGCTGGCCCACATGCTTGTCACAGCCCAGCAGCAACTGCTCCAAAGAGCAGGAACCCAAAACGTGGACTTCGGCTCCAGCCCAGCTACTACTATGCTGTGCAACCCAGAGAAAGGGCAAGGTGATTTTCTGGACCTCAGGTCCCACCCTTGGGTTTACAGAGGGCAGTGGATGGGATCATGATTTTCCCCAAACTGGGTTCTCAAGAGAGGTCTTGGGACCATCAGATTGCAAAAGCTAAAGTGCTATTCCTTCCACCCTCTTTTTAAACCAGACAGTGATGTCTCTTAGATTGAGGCTCCAAGTAAAATTTAATTTGATCAGAGTTCCATGGCTAATCAAAAGACCTCCGAGGAGCCTCCAACTCCGAATATTATGTGCAGGTGCCTCAGAGGTCAATACAAACATCTGGGTGAGTGGTGACCTCCAGTCCCAAGGCCAGAGATAAAAGCATTCTCTCCTGTTCCTGCCAGTTTGGGTTCTAACTCATAGCTTCGGCCACCCCCAGCCCCTGAACCCCGCCAGGCTCTGCTCTGCTGAGAACGTGCTAGGGGTGGAGACAGCTCCCCATAAACACACGGCCCAAAGCAGGGTGCTTTCCCAGAACCTCAGACACCTGCCAGGAGGATCCTGCCTCTTCCCTGTGGCTTCCCAGTCACAAGGGTCCCCAACCCCAGTGTCCAGAAATCAACAACTCAATTGTTTTTTCTCTCTTTTCTCTTTCAGCCTCATCACAGCTGGGCTTCTCACCCCAGTGACCAAATACCTTCGGTGGGTGACGAGGAGGGAGAATCGGACCGCTAGCCTCTTAGTCTGGAGGTCAGGAAGCAAGGCTGAATTCTGTGCCTCCTTCCCCAGTCCCTTCCCCTTAGACAGCCAACTTGCCACAAAAGCCTGTCCCGTTCACGTAGCTATGCAAACCTCTCTTACAGGCTGTCCCCAAGAAAGTAGTGAGGCTGACTCCACTGTTTGGGAAGGGACAGAGGTGCTGGCTCTCCTGCCCTCCCTGTCGCAGAGCCTAGCCTCTCTGCTCCTTGAGAAAGCAGTTCTGGGATTTAGCCTGCATTGACACATGGTACCTCCTCTGTCCCTGAAACCCATGGCAGGGGTTGGGGGCATTGAGGTCAGCAAGGTAGCCATCACTGCCCAGCCTGTAACTTCCCCCCACTTCACATAGATGCTATGCTGGGACCCATTGGCCAAGCCCCCAGTCTGGCCCCAAGTCAGCAGAGGAAATGCAGCTGTCACCTCCCTGCGCACCCACCTCCTCCTGGACCTAACCAGTCTCATCCCTCTCCTGCGTTGCCTTCCACAGCAAGAAGTGGCTATTTTTAAGGGCCAGCCAGGAAGGCTGCTGACTGGAGAAGGAGTGAGAGGATGCCACTCTGGGGATTCTGGCCAGATGCGGCAGGCAGGGGTGAAGGAGGTGCCTCTGTGCCCTCCTTCATCCTGCAGCGGGTGAAGAAGCCATTGAGACCTCTCTGCTGTTTTCCCCAGACTCCTCCTGTCCTGGCCAAATGCCCTGAGCCTCTGTTCTTAGGACCTCCAGCGCCTATGCTGCCATGGGGCAGGGACTAGGGAAGGTGGGAAACCTCCTATATGGCCCAGGAGAGAAATGGGCATCAGACTTCCTCTGATGTCTGAAGACAAATTCCCCCACACCAGCGTGTGTTCTGCTTCCCTCCCCAAAATCCAAGGATGCTGGGCCATTTGCTCTGAGAGCAAACCCTGGAAGAGCCAGGCATTCGCTCCCTCTCCTTGGAAGCTGAGAAGGGCAGCAAGCAGCCAATTTGGAGGGACAAAGGGATGGTAGGGCTGCTCTGCCAGCCCAGCAGGGAAGCTCGGCCACCAGGCAGGCCGCCCCCACCCCCACCCCAGAGAGCCCCTCTCTCCCTGGTCGGCGGAATCTGCTCGGATCTGGGGAGCTGGGGAGCTGGGGCCGCAGTTTACGGCAGCTCTCCCGACTGGGCTTTTGGAAAGCTTAACATTTTCAAACCTATTCTTCCACCCCAGTGACAGATTTATCCCAGGAAAATTATGCCTCCTCCTCCAGCTTTGAAGGGAAGTCAGCTACGTCGATGCAGAAAAAATGCAGCGAGACATAGTCGATCCCCCAAACTGGCTCAAGAAGAGGAGAAAGTATTCAGGAAATGTTAAAAAAGGTGAAAGTAAGAAGAGTTTTAATCGCTCTGCCAGACGCGGGGGTCTCTCCAGAGATTAAGAGAGAACAATCTTGAACCTCTTTTTTAACATTTACAGACTTGAAACTCCTTTCAAACTCCACATCTGAAAAAAAAAGCTCGTTCTTTTTCTGTTTTATATCATTCTTCGTTTTTCTTCTTAGCTCTTAAAATGCCTCACCTTTTTATTACATTTTAATAGAGTCTTCCCCTCTCCTTTCATGCTTGTTTAACGTGGTCATTATTTAAAGGTTTTTAAACTCACAATAATCGTTCTCTAAAAACACCAGCCGCCCAGAGGGCTTGCTTTTCTCCTGGTACATCCAGGACTCTGGAAATTGGCCCTGTTTCAAGGCAGGAATATTGAATGTTTTAGAAATCAATCAGTTCTCAGCCTCCCTGCCGGCAGTAGCTCCCCGCACTCGCCACCCCACAGGGAGCTGGGAGTCCTGCCCCAGCCCGCCGGGTTCCTGGGAGAGTGGAGCAGAGAGAGTCCTGTTCCAAGCCCAGTCCCCACGTGTAATTGACCCTTCTGATCAAAGTATTTAAAGGTTCCCAGCAACCCCCTTTTCCACATGGGAGAGTTGAGGGGATTTTTCTCCCTTTTCTTTCCCACTCTCCTTTTGTGGACCCTGGCGACATATCCACTTTCAAGAGCTTCCCTTAAACCTGGGCCCCCTCCCCTGAACCCCCTGCCTCCACCTGCAGCTGGGGAGGGGTGTATGAAGCGGGGAGGCATAAAGGGAGATTCCTAGATTCATTCATTTGCTGGGCAGGATAGGGGCACCTGTGGCCAAGTACTACTCCCCAATGCCCCCTCCCCAGCCCTCTTCCCCAGCTGACCCTCAAGACACTTTTCTGCCTTAACTCCTTCCCTTCTGGGCTGGGGACCCCACAGGCCTCCGGCCAATGCAGTTGGGGCTGGCAGTCCAGGAGCCGCGCATGCCACAAGCGACCTTCATCGTGCCTTACCGAAGGGGTCGCCGTCCTCTGCCATGGCGTTGATGCGCTTGTTGGCCAGGACCTGCACGTGCTTCCCGCTGGTGCGGCTGTAGAGCTGGTAGGTCCGGATGAGGCGGCGGCTGAGCTGATCCGTCACCAGGCTCTGCTCCCTCACATGCTGTGTAAAATTAGGTGAGGACTGAACAGTTACCTTTAGGAAATTGAAAAATACACAACACTGCATTATAATGCTACTCCGCCCAGGGGCCCGAGTGGCCCCATCACCCTGCTTCCCCCTCACTGTCCCAAGCCGCCAGCAGGTGCTAGGGGTTCCCCCAACATGCCCCCCCAGGCCACCAACCCCCACCCAGGCAAGTGGGGCAGACCCAGCCCATTATAAACGAGCCCCGGGGAGAAGCTGGACCCACCTGTTGGGAGACACCCTGGGGCTCCCGGCCAGCCTGGAACAGGGAAGCGAGCTCCCTGCCCAGCGCAGGGCCCCTGCCGGGGCCTTCCTAGAGGAGCAGGGCGCTTTTAAGTAGGGAGGCAGCGCTTCCCGACCCCTGACATTTATAAAGACAAATTTACGGAGCAAATGTTGAGAATGCAGGGGACCTGGGCACCCGATCATTGGGCCAAGCCGGTCACAAACTCCCCCGAGGGATGCGGAGAGAGTCTGCTGCAGTCACCCGGCTTCCCCTGACATCGAACATCCATCCCCTGGTCCCGGCTGCCCCCTTCCTCGGCGGCCAGGTGTTCCCTATGCCCCAGCCGGCGAGGATTTGTGGGGGACAGTGCTGGGCTCGGAGACCGCGCTCCTATCCTGGCCACTCGCTGTGTGACCTCAGGCAGGGCGCTACCTCTCTGTGCCTCAGCTCCCTCCTTAGGGTGGCTCGGGGCTGGGTTTCTAAGGTGCCCTCAGCCCTCCCGGGCCGGCCACAGGGTCAGTCCTGGTGCCCCCGCCCGGCGCTGCCCACCCGGGTCTCCCGCCGGCCCGCCTGGTCCCCGCCTCCTCGCAGCGCTCCTCACCTGGGCATGCAGGCAGAGGACCAGCAAGTGCAACAGCCTGTGGGAGACAAAAGCGGGCGGGAGAGAGAGGCGCGGGTGAGGCGAGGGGCGCAGCGGGCGGGCGGCAGGGCAGGGCGGCGCGGTACTCACAGGCAGCTCAGCGCGGAGCGGGGGCTGCCCATGGCGCGCGGCCCCGAGGCACCGAGAGCCCGGCAGGATCACGCCGTCCCGCGGGGGGACGCGCGGAGCGGGGCGCGGGCGGAGAGGGTGCGGGTGCCGGAGGCCGGCGGCGATCGCGACGCGGCTCCGCCGGTCCCGTGGAACGTCGTGCTCGCCGCGCCGCGCCGAGTCGCTGTGCGCCGCTGCCGGAGCCGGTGGCCGCAGGCTGCTCGGGAGCCGGAGCGGGCGGGAGGGTCACGGGCCGGCAGGGTGGGTGGGGAGGTGGGAGGGCGGGGAGGGGTGGGGGCGGGGGGGCGCCGCACCGGGCGCGAAGGGGGAGCGCGGGGCGGGCGACGGGAGCCCGCAGCCCCCGGCTGGGAACTGGGGCCTGGACGCAGCCCGGGGCGGGGGCGGGGCTGCCGGGGCGGGGCGGCCCACGGGTCCAGGATTGGGGGTCTGGGCTAGGGGAGGGGTCTGGGGACCCGCGGGAGGGGTGGGGGCGGCCGGTCTGGACGCCTCCCCCTATCCCCAGCCTACCCCCCCCCCCGCCCGAGCTCTCGGGGCCCTGACGCGCGGGGATGGGGGCGACTGGTGCTTCGGGCTCTGCGGGGCCGGGAGACCCTGGGCCCGGGCTTCCCGGAGCGCCCGAGTCCGGCGGGGCTGGGTCTTCTGCCTCGGGGCCGGGCCGCTTCATTCCCCCCACCCACCCCGTTACGCCTTGGTCTCAGAGCCACCTACTGTGTGTCCTGCCAGGCCAGCCTGTTAGCAGCGCCGCTAACCCTGCGGTGAAGGGCTGCGCACCCGGCCCTGGCACAGTGCGTGACGGTGTCACCCGGACCCTGCTCCCGTTTCGGCCGCGTGCCCCGCCCTGCCGCTCTCCCCAGTCTCAGTCTCCCGAGGAGGCCCTGGGAGCCAGAAATGCCTCCCCCTCCCCCCACTCCATTATCACCATTACCCCTTCCCCTGTGCCCCTCACCACACACATACACTAGCCTGAAGCTTAAGGGGCACCCCGAGCCACTTGTGTGGAAGAGGGAGCCAGGAGATGCCTGGCAGGACCCACTGTCCCCCTACCCCAGCAGGCAGCAGGGGCAAAAATAACTGTTCTGAGCAGCTTTTCCTGGGGGAAGTGACTTCGATGGAGGCCACCCAGCCTTTTCCCCCTCAAAGCCCCATTCATTTTTCATTTCACAGGTATTTACACATCTACTGTATTCTAGGCAGGGGCTGGTCAGCTGGGTCTAGGGCAGAGGAGAAGGTAGGCAATTGTCTAAGCCTTTCCCAGCCCCTCATCTCGTGGCTTCCCCCTTGAGGTTTCTGGAAACCCTGAGCCCCCACACTGCTTCTGTAGGAGCAGCCTGGGTAGGCAGAGGGTGTCCTGGGACAGGTACCTTGTGAGGAGCAGGTGATGCCCTACCAGGCTGTTGCCTTTACCCACAATTTACCCTTCCCCACTGACCCTCCATGTCCCTGGGGGTAGGGCTGGAGGGTTTGGTGTGGGTCCAGCAAGCCAGTAGGCCAAAGGGAGCAGGCAGCCCTAGTCCAGCACACAACTAGACCCTGCCTCCCTCCCTGTTCCGAGTCCCACTTTTCACGGGGCCCCATCTTTTCTGACTCCTAGACATCAATGCAAACACTGAGCAATGGAGAGATGGGAAAAGACAGAGGGTGTGTTCCAAGATCTTATCCCTCCTCAGAGAAGTAGACTTCCTGGGCACACTTGCCATCTCACTTCAGTAGTCTGTTCAGTGGGCTCTTGCCCACACAGACCTTGTGGCAAGAATCATGTCTTACGGGCTCAGAAATCACAGCTCGTGGCACAATGCTGGATAGAATTGTTCTGCAGTTAAGAGTTCACTGAATGAATGAATGAAATTAAATGAATAAATGAGTGATGGGGAAAGTGGCTGAGCATTTAGACTTCAGCTCATTTGCAGCTTCTCCAGGAAGACCTGCCTTCACCTTCTCCCAAAAGATTATCATCATCAGCACCACGAATTATGAGCACTTGTATCTGCTACAGGCTTGGTAGGCACTGTCTCCTTGGAAGCTCATGGGGAGGTGAGCCCATGAGGCAGAAGAAAGTCAGGTGGGCTCAAGTGGCCACAGCCCAAGCCAGCCCTTGCCATCCCTGTGTTCAGTTCAAGGCCTGAGTCACAATTCCTTGAGTGTCTATTTCCCTCTCTGCACTGCTTCAAGAGGGCAAGGGCGATGTCTGTTTGCTCGTGGTCTTACCCTCATCCCTGTACACAGCAGCCCTCAACCATGTTTAGTTGTGAATATGATGAACAAATGAATGAATGGAGAGATAGAGAGCAGGGGACAGGCACTTCCTGAGAGAAACAGGCTTTCTCTCACCATGGACTCTGAACATCAGTGTGATGAGCAGAGCAGGGAGTAGGCCCCAGGCAGGGGTGAGGGTGACCCACCCCCAACAGTGTGTGCATGGTCCTGGGGTCACAGCCAGAGGAGCACCTTCCCCTCCCTGGAATGGGGATAGGGACAGAGCCCCTGGCAGAGGTCAGCATTCAGCTCCGGTTGTGGAGCCCCCAGAAGATTCTGAGGGCCCTGGGCTGAGCTTCAATGGTCTTCAGCCACACTCCTTCCTCTGCCCCAGAGAAGATGGGTGTCCTGGGATCTGAAGGGTCAGAGGTCAAGTTTCAGTCCTGTCCCAGCCTCTGCCAGGAAGCCTGTGCTGGACCAGGATTCCTTTACATTTGGATTTGGAAACCCTCCTGAGAAGTGGACCCTCACCTAGTTCATTGAAATTCTTCTCATCTCCCCAAAAGTCCCTATCTGTGGGGGAGAGGAGCAGATGGGGACACCCCGGGAGCAAGCACCTGGCTCGGCTCGGGCACACCCGTGACTGACAGATGCAAATGTCCCGCCGGGCTCCCGCAGGCCGCTCCCTCCCTCTCTGGCTCGCTCACCTCCCGGCCAGCTCCCTCCCTCCTTTATCTTATCAAAGCCCGGTAATTACAATTGCTATTTTGTTTCCTCGAATCTGCAATCAGAGCTCCTGGGCCCAGATGAGGGAGCGCCTGTCAACCTGATCGCTAAGTGACAGCCCGGCCACCTTTCTCGGCCGCCCCCACACTCCGAAAACACAAACACACACACGCACAGACACACACTCCCTCGCCTGCAAACACAAACACACACTCCTAGCCAACACAAACGGCCCCTCTCCGCAGACACGCCCTCGCCGGGACCCAGACACAGTCTGTCAGCCTATTTCCAAACGCACCCCTCGATCCCAGCCCGGCCCCCGGCCCCTCGAATCCACACCCGCCGGGGACCGCAGCAGACTCCAACGCGCGCTTCCTGCGCCGGGCGTTCAAAGCGCCGCGGACTCACTGCTGACCGTTCAAATGCAAATCGCCCAGACTACGTTAAGCACTTCGGCCGCTGTCTGGAAGTTGTCCCCTTCGGCCCCTCAATAGGAGCCTACCCTTCCTCCAGCGGTCGGTAACTCGGGCTTACGCCTTCATCCCCCAGCTCCCGGAGGCCACAGTGGGCCAGCAGCGCTCTTACTGTGCGCTGAAGGGCAAAGAAGGGGACTCGAGAAGGGAGTAGGGGGAGAGAAGAAAAAACCATGCCCAGCTGCGTCCGCGGGGTGCCCCAACCGGCTGAGAAACTCCTGGGCCGAGAGGCTGATGTGGATTGGGCCCCCACTGCGGACAGGAGCGTGCTCGGCGCCGGCCCGCACCCACCAGGACACCGGCTTGGAAAACTGGCGAGGAATGCAAGGAGCAATCAGTGGCATCGCGGGGGGGTGGGTGGGGTTAATATTGGGGCGGGGCCGCGCAGGGGGTATGGGTCAGCTAGGGAGGCCTCTCGGGAGGGCTGACTCTGCGAGGCACTCAGCCAATCTCCCGCACCTCCGGCCAAGCACGTGCGGAGAACTTTGGAGCCTGGAGCCAAGAGGAGGAAGGAAGGGAAAAAGGAGGGCCGCGGCCCGACTCCGCGATCCAACTCAAGTCCTTCAAATGAATGAACGTAAGCACGCATACACGCAAACTTCAGTGGCATTCCCCCGTCTTCCGCTCAAGATTCGGCCGCCCAGAGAGCACTGGTGGGACCCGGAGGTCCCGACCCCATGGCGCCCTCCCGGAGCCTCTAGACGGGGCGGGAGGAGCAGTACGGCCGCTAGCGGCTTCAACCTCACCCGCCAGAGGGCGCTAGCCCCGCCTTCACTCTCCCGGCGGACCGCGCGCGGCAGCGAGACCCATGGTTCCCAGCCAGTCCGTCCCGCCGCCGGGCTCCCCGGGGAAGCATTTTCAGCAGAGTCCCCCTGGAGCGGAGAAGGGCGCCTGCGACCCAGATCACCGCAACACAGAGGGGGTCATCTCCCTTTGTCCTCAACTTGAGGAAGGAGGTTGAGGGTTGGACCCCTAGTTCCTCACCACGGGCTGGGGGAGAACCTCCTTCTCTAGGGGTGCGCTGAAGAGCGTGCGGGTCGGTACTGCGGATGCACTGTCTTCAAAACTGACCTCACTTGCCCCAGAACCACCAGCCCACGAGATCCTGGGGCCCCTTCCCCTTGCCCAGAGGTTGGGGGTGGGAGTTGGCCTGACCCCCACCAGGCCCTGTTCTCTGTCCATCCTCAGCTTGTCTGGCCCCAGGCTGACTGGGGAGGCAACGTTTTCTGTTTGTTTGTTTGTTTGTGGGCACTGACAACCCTCCCACACCCCCACCAACACAGCTGCTGAACTGCTGACCCCAGAGCTGGTCACACACACATCCTCAAACCAGGTGTGTCCCTTCTTCCTGGCACAAAGGCAACCAAGCGCCAGAAGTACCGGATTCCAGGTACCAGAGACCCTCAGACCTTGAGGTGTGTGAGAGACAAGAACCCCTTAGTCCAGGAGACCAATTCCCAGGGGCCCCTTTCTGCCCCCATATGCCAGGCCACCCGGATTCTGGTTTCCCTGTCACCCAATCTGGCCGGTCCCCTCCATCTGGCCCCTGGAGTCAGGTTTCTAAGGGCCCAGCCCTGCTCAGAGACGGTCTGCAAGGCTCAAAGGAGGAGCGAAGCCTGGTCCCGCCCTGCCCTCACTGGCCCTCTCTGGGCCAGAGCCCCTCATGGGGCTAGGGATGCACATTCCTCAGGCTGCCTAAGCCCGCTTATCTGGCCCCTGCCCATCAGCCTGAGTGCTGACAGAGGCCCAGACCCCTTGTTTGGATGCTGATAACCTCCTGCGATGGCCCTCCCCCACCTGCAGGGATGGGAACAGGCTGAGCGTTGGGAGGTCCCCTTCCAGCAGGCGACAGGGGCCCAGCCCTGAAGGTAGAGGATCCCACGGTTCTCCACCCTCCTCCAGGCCCAGGACCAGCCTGGGTGCTGCCACAGTGCCACCTGGCGGTCCCTAGGGAAACATCACCCAGCACAGGAAGAAGTCACACAAGGGCTGCAAAAATCCCACACCACTTTATTTCAACCTTTACCCAAAAATGTAAAAACTGTTAAAAATGTGTAGTTCTGAGCTTCAGGCACCAAAATCCAATCCTCACAGGCAGGTGGGAAGAGAGGCTCCAGGCATGGTGCAAGACCAGAAAACCAAGGTCCTGTGGAGCACAGGCCCTCTCCTAGCACCAATGCCCAAGTCCCTCCCACCCAAACCCCACCCAAGCTCTCCTCTTCAAGGAAGAAGAAACATTTACAATTCTTGGAACTGTTGGGGAACAGGGTGC